ATCAGTATTACAATAGGAGACCTACATATCTAAGAATAGAAAGCCTGTGATTGTTAAAAACTTTCAGACATTAAATAATAAGAGAAAGAATATATTTATAAAGTTTCACTGATAGAATTTAATTTGATGTAGTAAGAGTGTACGATAAATTATGATTATAACCACAGTGATTACAATTTTGAATAACAAATATCTAAGTTGTGATCAAATCTTTTAAATAGGTGTGATATTGTTCTCCGCATTGCTTGTAAAGAATATAAATAAGTAAGCTAGAAAAAACGAGAGAATGAATGAAGGGAAATGTAGAGAAGGTAACACCGACTAAACGGTATTACGAAGAAAGAGAAATGAATAGAAAGAAAGAAAAATAAAATAAAGCGAAATATTGGAGAATTTAACTTGGCAAGAATCATAAACATTTTATTTTACATTACAAATAATGTGACGTGCTCGATGAGTGAACAAGTGAAATACTGAAATTATCTACGAAAATTGTGTTATTTTATTTTGTGATTGGTACCATGTATAAGGTTTAATAGAAATATGGTATTTTTCAATTAGATAATGGGCATTTTATAAAATTTACCTACTAAAGCTGTAAAGTGGAGGACGAAAGGAAATGTTGTCAATATTATTTATTTTATTTGTATGAAAAATATGCAGTGTCATGCCACGTTTTAAGGTTGAAATAATTTATTCCACACCTTTCTATGATATATAACATTATCAAAACGGAAGGATAAGGACTTTGGCTTATTTATAACTGGAATTTTATATCCATGTTTCTCCGGCGACATATTTGAGCTGAAAAATTTACGGTCTCAAGACAACAAACTTTATTCGATATTTGTATTCCATCGTATGAGGCTAAACTAATATAAAGATTTTTATATGCAAATAAATTACATTGACCACTTGACTGAAATACACCTTATATCAAGTTAAAGGCAATATCCTACTCTGTTAGAAGTCCAAATTATTTGAACACGACCCAGTTGTATAGCGCTCACAAATCTTAAAGTAAGAGCATACTAAACATTTTTGTGTTATCTCTAGCTGACCGACGTCTACAAATCATCGACACTCTTAAAGACGGTCATTTTTCAAAACGATGCTGCGTAGTCGTATTACTCGTCCTATAACATCCCGTTTAAAGTGGTTTTGTTACTCTGTAAATTATTAGCTGAAAGTACTCCTATTTTAATAAAAAGGAAATGTATAATTCATTTATGCAATAGTTGTATTACTTCTCAAAAAGGAGTTGCAATTGAAAGAAGAAAAAGATCAGCATGCTACTAAAATGTCAATCGGATATTTGAATACCCACCCCCAAATGTTCATTTTTTTCACAATACAACTATTTTGTATTGAATGTTTCTACTGCATAAGCATCAACTTGCCTGCTAAATCTCCATGGAGTTGACCAAAATATGGTTTTTGTTTTGTTTTTATTTTACTTTTCACTTTGCTCATTAAATAATTACTGTAGGATTTGCAGAACTTTTTGAAGCTATTGCATTACAATTATTATCAATCGGTACCAGGACTATGGGCTTGATGGCGGTTGTATGTGAGTATAGGACAGTGGTAGGCAGAAAAGCGAGCTAAAGCCATATATCGATTACAATCATTTTCCTCATGAACAAAGTCTTCACAAAATGTTTCACGAAAAAGTGCCACGAACATTCTTTACATAAATAGCTTCATAGATATATATTTTCATATTTTTTCCGAACTACTAACTTTGAACTGTTGTTTGACAAGTCAAAACCTGCTGATACGCGACACTTAAGGCAACTTGTTTGATATGTGAAACATTGCAATCACCTGGAACATAATACACTCTGTATGGAAATATCAGCCGTTGCTGCATTCCAATACCTAATAAAGTCTGTATGGATATTACACCCCTAATATAGAAAACCTAGTCCCTAGACCACTTAATCTGCCGTATTCAGTTTAAATCGGGTAACATATTCTCATCCACTATAAACAGTTTCCGATAACCAATCCCCTTCTTATCGTCCAAATGTTTCTCATCATCTTTATGTGGAGTCATATAAACATATACTTGTCTAGTGCCGCCATCAGCAGGGTCATACCCTCTTATTAGTGCAGATGGACACATATAATATTCTGGAAGGGTGAGCTGAACACTTCAACTGCGTTCTTAACAGTCCAACATCAATTAATGATGGCTCAGACTGAATTCCAGCAGAGATATACAAGGAAGGCGGTGCAGCGCTGAGTAAAAAAAGCTCCATCAGTTGTTTTAACTCATGCTCTCCGCCACGCAGACTGATGCATCCGCATGTGTCATGAATTGCCGTTAATAAAAGCAACCGGAAGTGGCCTTGAAACTCGCGATGTTTAAACACATCGTGGTCGTCATATCCTTTGCAAACGATGTCTTGTATCCAGTGGCAGCCAGACATTTTGTGTCCTGAATAAAATTATTGCCGTACTCACTGTCAACGATGTCAATAATCCCATATCAAGCATATATCTCACGTTCATTTTTGCACAGCAGTCTTAGATTTATACAGTGCTGGATTTACCATTGTGCTTAGGTGTGCTTATACACATGGCCCTGTTGGCAATGTGGCCCATCTTCTTGGCAAAAAAAAAATACAATTAACTTTTTCAAAAGTCTTTGGTTATTTAAACTACTCCTAAGTTTTCTGAGTATATATGCCCGACTCAGATATGACTCAACATATGCCTGCCCTACACTGACTACCTGTGTAGGCCTACCGCGCCTACCTCCTTCATGGCCCAAGAAGGGCCTCATAATTTAACAATTTGTCCTTAATCCGGCACTGTATTTATCTAAGTATTTGGTTTATTACAATGATAACCAAATCAAGCAACAACAACCAGATGAACGTATGCTGCCATAATACAGTCTCCGCAAATCCAGTTAGATCAATGGTATTTCCATGTAAGTCCACTCGCAAAGGACCGTTTATTGTAACTATCATCATTTCGTGTGCTGGATGACCAAATCGTGAGAAATACGGCTCACATTCTCCCACTCCAAGAAAACTAACAGGGTACCAATCCACCACATCAACTGAGATTATATCAACGGGATTATGCCTATATCTTTGGTCTAAAGGCCATAATATCCAAATTGGACGCATGAACGCGATACATCATCGAGAAATTCCCTTGTTTTGCTGGGCGATACGAGCAACAACTACAGACGAAATTTTTAACCATATATTTAGCAATTCATCTATTTCGATTTGTGAATCGACGATGGTGTATTTTAGAGATACCTGTTTCATCTCATCATGGAGAAATTCTTTGCGATAAAGTTTACCTCTCGATAGTAACAACTGATCAAATCAATAATCGAATCCCAATTCCGATGGTGGATTGTCTGATGATCGAAAACCTTTCCAGGATCACTCTGAAAGAGCCAGACTGATACAGGATCGTGCTTACAATATTATCAATTTCCTCAAAATAATATCGTGGTAAAATCTAGCAGTTTTCCTCGTAGAAATATTGTTACACTTGCCGTCCACGCATGAAAATTTTTGTCAACTATTTCTACAGGGGCGCCCCTTATTTTATAGCTGCCAGAATTATACATAACCTTGTAGGCTATTGATTTTGCTACCATCGGAACTTTAATCGCTTTTCCAATTCGGCGACATCTATTATTTTGATTTCGATTTGCTCTAGAAATGTGCCAATTCATTTGCTTTTTGGATTCGTGATTGCTAATCCCTTACCTCCTCATCGGACGTTCATAAAATGTTTTGTGACCCGGTGAGCCACGCAATTTAAAATACCAGTTCACATCAGTTGAAGAGCATTCATATCCGGCTCATTTGGTGGACACAGTGCGTAAACAACATCCCACATAATATGGACAGTCAATATCAGTCAGCGCTCCAAGTGTAGAATTTTTGTCTACCGTAACAACACGATGTCCACGTGATTCTTTAACAGGGTCTAGTTTATCCTGGATAATCCATGTTGCGCCATCCCCACTGTCATGCTCGATAACAAATTTCATTCATAAATTCTTTTTACCACAGACCAGTTGATCAATAATCATCCGCAACCGCTGATCATTCATTGTAACATCAATGAAAATAACATCGTTGTCTATACGGAACGTTGACAAACAAGAGTTGTACCATCGCGCCTAAAATCGTACTTAGCCATTCTGATATATTCGTGTAATTGTGAATCAATGGTGGGTGGGTTTTTTTTTTTCTTATCGTTAACATTTTTATGTCAGTAATTTGTAAAATAAAGGTTTCTGTCATAATTCCATTTGAGAACTCCAATAAATTGATAGAATGGGCTTTGCCAATGGTTTTTAACAATATAAATGAGAACAAAGGTCAATAGCTCTTGCGAAACAAGTTTATCGGCGTTATCATAATAATAAAAATTCGCTTCATTTGATAAAATTTTTATTACAATGTTGTGACCTAAACAATTGAGTTCTAATTGTATTATTTTTCGAGGAGAAAACGATTTGATGGAGAGGCAATTCTTCCCATCTGCTCAGGTTGTCTAGTCCCCTCTGGTCACTGGCTAAATTAGTTATGTTTGTAACTTGATGTGGCTTGATTTATTGATGCATCAATACTTTTGCTGTACTGATACACATATCAATACAAGAGGGGGAAATCGATATAAAACGATACTTAACCATATGCAACTTTTTTTAATCTTCAGCTGTTGTCAGTAACTATTATTCATTTACCAAATCAATCTTTAAATTGACAATTCGTCTGAAACAGTTGTTGAAGGAACATGCACAACTGTTTTGATAGCAACAGCGAAAAACACCCCACTGTCAATTGTCTGTCTTATACATATTAACACAAAAATTACATGCTTCGTAATATCCCCCTTCCAGCGCAAATTACATGCTAATCATTGTATCTAGGTATAAAGGAAAGCAAAAAAGAAAAGAGTCAAAATGTGTTCCACGTGTACAATGAACTACATTACTTATTATTTTGTTGGTCTAACTGGTGACCTAGTGGTTGGGACATCCGCTTCCGATGCGGGAGGTCGCGGTTTCAAACCCCTGCCGAGTCATATCAAGACTGAAAAAATGGTATTAATAGCTGCCTTGCCAGGCGCTCGGCATTAAGAGATTAGTATTAACACTAGTCGGCCTGTTGTTAGGATAATGTGACTAGGTGGGACATTATGCTACATGTCTGTAGCATGATGTCCCAGTGCTGCCACACCACAGACAACGATATGTTAAAGTTACGTTAAAAAGTCAGTCATTATTTTGTTAACCATTTTCACTCGAAATTTCTTTGCTTGTTTATATCTTCTCTACTTTTGTCGAGTCTGAAAGCCACTACTCGTGTGACACGATGTATTATGTTATACTGAATTGCGTGTTCCGATGCAGGTAAACAGATGCCATTAATAAAAAATTAATGTAGCTTATTCGCTGCGAGACAGAACAGGAACTTAAGGCAAAGGAACAGAAAAATTTTGCGCAAAAGTGAGCATTAATGGTTTTTATAAAGTACAATATTTTTACAAAGATGACGCTAGTGCGTACGGATCGCGCAAAAGTTTGACGAATTCACGCACTTGGAAACTAGAATAGGACGATAATTCCTGCACATTAACTGAATGTCGCACCTGTGAAAATGTTCTTTGCGTAGTATATAATTTTTATTCAACCGCCCATCCTTAAGGTGCCTTTTGCGTCAATAGTCCCGCTATCATATGTATCGTGGCGCTTGTCGAGACGTCTGTTTTTCCGATGGGTAACTCTTTATACACGAGCTTGACATGAGAGGTTGATAAACCAAATTTAATTAACGCAAGAATTCTGTTTTTACTTTGAATCTTGCTTCAAAGAAGTTTATATATATGTGTTTAAAATTCGAGCTACCTAGAAAACCAAAAATTTGCTTATTTACAGCGTGGTTCCTCTTCAGATCAGTAAATGTAGGAAAGGCAGACTACTAAGCCCAAAAGTACTACAGACAGTTTGGAAGTCAAATGCAATTTAAATTTTCTTTTCGCAAAACAATTTATCCCTGTTGTGTCAAGCGCTTCAAAGCTACATATCCCTATCCAAATTTAGACAAAATAAATAGATAAGGATGGATAAAAAATAAATTAAGAAGTGGATATATTTATTGGATCAAACTACCTCAGTCTGGTGGAGAAAGCAAGTCCTTCTCTTGATCAAATGAATCACACTTAAATGGCCTAAAATGTTCATTAAAAATAAAAGACGTTGGCTGTTTGAAAGCATTTTAGTTGCTATGAAACATGACTTAAATATGCTCGAACACATAGACGATTGTACGAACTTTATCAAGGATACACAATCTTTAAGCATCTGTAATACGAATTTAAATCTTTTGAAAAAAAAACCCAGACTCCAAGATCAACCACGACAAAACAGAAATGTTAAAGATAGGAAACTGGAGATGGGAATCACACAGGACTCCCATCTCACCTAATAAAAGATAAGGTCAAGGACTTATGAGAGACCCTTGGCCATAAAGCAAAAATAGACAAATACAAATGCATAGTATCAAAGATGAAAGAGAATATAGATATATGGATGCATAAAGCACTGTGCATAATGCGGCCAAGACATACATGTAGGCCTATAGCAATATGAAATATATCCAACATCCGTTGACCTAAAACTAAAAAACTGAATGAATTAGACAAAGAAATAGTAAATTATATATTGTACAGCAAAACGCACTATCTGCCCAAGGAAACATTATGTATGAAGAAGTTTAGGGGATGATCGAATCTTCACAATCCAATTGCAGTTAAGGCTGCCAATATTATAAACATATTTGTAATAAAAATAAAACAAAATCCTACATTTTCATAAAAAGCTTATATATACTGGCTGGATTTTACGTAAAACCCCCACCCTGATATTATATTATATTATATTATATTATATTATATTATATTATATTATATTATATTATATTATATTATATTATATTATATTATATTATATTATGTATGTGTGAGTGTGAGTGTGTGCGTGCGTGCGTGCGTGCGTGTGAACAATTTTTAACCAAAATACTTAAAATACCACGGAAATATTTTAAGAGAGAGAGAGAGAGAGAGAGAGAGAGAGAGAGAGAGAGAGAGAGAGAGAGAGAGAGAGAGAGAGAGAGAGAGAGAGAGAGTGTGGATGGGGGGGGGGACCGTCAGATGTAAAATAGAACAAAACACTTGGGGATCAAATGGAAAAATGTGTAGAAGACACGGGCGGGATTTAAAGTCCTTACAAGTTCAAAGTATGATTTTTAAATTTTTTACAAGATGCATGGCTTACGGGAGAAGTGGACTTTAAATGTCACATGGTATAGGAAATACCTAAAATGTCCAAGATATAAAGCAGCCACTTCACAAAATACCATGCAAAATCTCAATGTGAGAATAATAAAGTAGAAAAATTAACTTCATAATGCAGATATGCAAACAATAGAGATACCGAAGAAATAATTTATTATATCTAGACGGAATATATGATAAAAAAGTATACAAAATATAACTGAATATGTTGTTAAAACAGTGTTGAAATGTGGTCATGTAGTTAGGATTAAACAATAAGTGCTTGACTAAAATAACATTTTCACTGCATCCTTGTAGAAGACCACTGTGGGGGATCGGCCCCAGTTCATCTCAGGGTTTGGGCTTCTCTCTCACATGTCACAAATACACAGTGATGCTGGAATGGACTTTATAAATATTTGAATTTTTGTCATTATCTAACGGTATCTCCCTTAGTTATTCTTTTTATTTTCTCAAATTAATATAATCAAACATTTAAACTCACATTATAAAAAAGGGAAACACACCAATCCACAACATTAACAATCTCTTTTGATAGGCACACCAGGACTTATTGACGGGGAACAGGGAACCTTTGTACCAGAGAAGGTAATGTGCGTAGATAGCACGAACTGAACAGGTCTGTGTGGTAGTTCATGAAAACATAAGACGCGGCACATGGGCAACACACAAACAGACAAGGGATACACGAACACAAGATTACCAACATGATTACCCTCAAACAAAAACACAAACATACAGACGCACAGGGAAAAAATTTCCCATTTTTAAAAAAAAATCAATTTTCATTTAGATCTTTTTCCAAGCTTCAGGAAAACTCCAGGTAGCCCCACATATCAGACTAGGCAATGTGCCCTTAATTAATATTAACGGATTGAGAGAAAAACTTCAAGATGCAAATGGTTTTCATTGTATTTTGAATTTTTTTTTTAAAAGAATACAAAAACGTCTCTCATTCTTAAAGAACTTTAAAAGCAATAAAACCAAAAGACCTACAGAAAGGAAAGCGTTCCTGTTTTAAAAAATAAACGAGAATAACAAAATATACAACCAGGGGGAATGATGTGACATAATGCCGTCCTTACAATAACTTCCATAGCGTACAAACACTATAGCATATATATATATATATATATATATATATATATATATATATATATATATATATATATATATATATATATATATATATATATATATATATATATATATATATATATGATGCAGCAAACACAGGACATAGACAATCACATAAACAATAGGGGGAAGGGAATAGGCAATAGTCTTTGGTCAAAAGAGCAACCCCATTAGCTAGAATAACTAGCCTGGGCACCTCACACATACAAGCATTCTTATATTTCGTCGGATGGGGGGGGGCAAAAAATAAATTTACAAAGGTTAAGCATAAAAATGTGTGCCAATGGATAAGCTGACGTAATACAATTTTAAAACGCATATATTTAAGATTCTTATAATCCTGAAATATAATTTTAGTTTCCTGTTGTGTTCGGTATGGCAGTATGGACATTAAAAACAATGTTGCCTCAATGCTGGACTAGACAGAATATCTGTGGGAAGTGTCTGTCGCCATAAGGATGTTTTGACCATCACAGGTATATGTAGGCATTAAGTGACGCAGTATTAAGATGAAAAATGTGTGTTTATGCTTAAAAATTAATTTTGTAGTTTTAAAAAATGAATATTGAAGTTTGATAATAGGAATTATAATTTATTTCGATGAATTCATATACAAATATGTGATACTGTTTCATAACACAACATGATGTCATTCTGTCACCCTAATGCTGACATGTGACATATGTCACCTTAATGCTGGTTACGTGTGTGTGTGTGTGTGTGTGTGTGTGTGTGTGTGTGTGTTCAGTGTTACAGGCAGAAAGCATATTGCTGGAAGGAGGCATTAACCACCAAATACTAAGGCTGTACTGTAATGTACAGTACTTACACAGTGCAAATCGTGTTTAGCGTCACTTACATCCTTATTTGCCCTCAAAGCAAAATAAATGCAGATTTTGCTTTATTCTTTGTGTCTTCCAAATCTCATTCTTCCAGATCACATTTCTCAAGTTTTATTTCTTGTCCTTCATGTCCAACAGAAATACAGAATAATTCAATTGTTAAAACTCTGTAATGCATATTTTAATAGGGAAATTTGTTCGAAGCTAAGTCAATGTTTTAGATGTGTAATTGCCTTTGCTTCATAATTTTGGTACAATTACGGTAGCTGTATCAATGGTTTAAAGTCACTTACATCAAAGCAGACGACAATTTAGCTTGTATGGTATTTTACAGCGCTGAACCAAACAGTATTGTTGTTATCATACTGGCATCACGTTTTAATACGTTTGATATTGACACTTTCAAGACAGAATCGTAAGTACTGATGTACTGACACAGACTTATAGACCTTAATAATTTAGTGAAGCCATATATAGTTATTTCATAAATCTATACTGCTTTGAAAGAATAGATGAATATACGAAGCAATTCCCGCAGATTTTATTTAACCTGGGATCATGTTATAACTTCGCTACACCAGTCATTTACAGGGAGACATATACCCACCATTTTGCTTGCATTAGCTTTGAAATGAAGACCACATGTGAGGCTAAATTCTAACATTTGATTTCTTCTACAACATTTCCCATTAATACTAATTTAGATTTAGTAAGATAGGGAAACCTGGTGACCATTAAAGCAGAGATTTCA